TTTTTTTTTTTCTTTTAATTCAAAACATATCGCCAAACATGTGAAAAACAAAAATAAAAGTTAAAACATCAATTAAAAAAATTAAAACAAGCATTTACCCATTGAAGACATAAATTTTTAAAAAGTTTCTGGCTGAAGATTTAATAAATCGATGCAGCAACGACTTCCTGTTTGAAAGTTTCCAGTAATTTTTGATGTAAAAATGCCTATAATTCCGCAGCCAAAGTTCAGAAAAGTTCACTGCTCCACTGCAAGCTATAGTAACAGCAATTTCCCAAAGCAGTGAACAGAAAAAGAAGTACTATGAGAACAACATCAGAAAATAATGATTAACTATTACGAAAGCAATCAAAAATGCACACAAATCTGCCAGCAGTTGCTTCCATTTCTCGGCGATAACTCATGACCAGCAAGAGTAAATGCTGCCAGCAGACACGTCAGCACTGCAACAATACGCGCAGGTAGTAAGGGCACATGCTGCAGCTAAAGGCGATCGACAAATTAAGAAAATCCCTGCACTGTTCAATACAAAGATCTCCGGAGCTGTAAACTTTAAATGCCTACGTTAGTGTAAATCCGCAGTTGTAAATTTCTGTGTTCGTTCTCATTAAACAGATATGAACATGAATTGGCTAAATCGCATCATAACTATTAATCAGGAAACTCAGTTTTTAAAAGAATTTTAATGGGAAATTTTACATCCAGATTAGTTGTTTCTGATATCGTTAACAAAAAATCTTGGTAAAAAAGTTTTGTGCAATATGGGATCAATGCAAACGCGGTAGTTCTCTGGTTAACCAATGAGCGTATGGCGTTCACATTACAAAAAACTGGCAAACCGTTAACTTTGATCACACAAGCATTCTGGTTTTTGTATTTTTTTTTCTGTTCTTCCATCCTTTTAGCCTTATTTGTTTCACTTTTTAAATGACCCTCGTTTTTAAATAGTTTTCAAGACACGCAATGGATGGTGGTAAAAAGGCAGGAGCAAAAAAAATAACTGTGAAATACTCAAACGCAACGGCATTATGCGGATGTTACAAGTGAATAAATGTTATCACAGCTAACGGACTAGCTCTGCCTTTAAGCGACAGTTTTTGCCAGAAGTCTCTTGAGTTTCAGTAAAGATTTTATTCGTAAATTTCTTCGAGTTACTGGGCTAAAATAGGATAAGTTGGATTTGAAATATAGTCCCATTCAGAAGCCTTTTCCTCCAAGATTAATAATTCCATCAAATAATTGGACTTTAATGTGATGGATATTCCTCTATTGAGAACAGCGATTTGCTCAAAAGTATTTCAAATGCAGACCAATTCCTCAAGCGGCTTGAGAACTTTGGCAGTTTAAACTGTGGCACTGCGCTCCTGGACGGATATTATTAGATAGCTCGGGATTGGCTAGCAGAGTAGTTTGTTCTGTCCTCCTGTCACTGCCCAAGGTAGTTGAAGCTGTCACAGATGACTTAGCAGAGGTTATGGTAGAGGTGATTTCTGTGACAGTGGAGAAGCGACTAAGGTTTGAGAAGATAGCATAAGTGAACAACACATTTCTTGCTGATTTGGTTGGGCATCGGATTTCATTAGCCTCCCATTCAGCAGTTGAACATCTTTACCACTGCTGATGATTTTTGGCCAGAGTTACTAGTCAGTCAATCTGATTAAGAGCGTTTGTAATTTGCAGTTTATACTGTTCCAGAGCCGCTAAAGAGGCTCGACATTCTTCAGCATTTTCTTGCGTTTTATTAGAAATGGGTTTCGGAGTTGACAATTTTTTGAATTCTTCAGTAAGTCGATAAACACGATTTTGCGCAAGAACGATCTGAAGAACGATTTTATTATTCGTTTTCCATAGTGTGAGTTATCGCTCAGCGACTCTAATAAGAATAGTGCTGAGGACATTTAAAATAACGGGAAAAGGCAACAGAGTGATAAATTTGTACTTAATGAAATTGAAATGAAACTGCTGTTTAGCGTAATATAAATAAAAGTGAACACAGCGGAGGAGTGAAACAGAGCAATGATTTAGCAGATAGCGGATCCGAAAGTGAAATACTGTCTTTCGATAATAGCGGGTTCAGTAGCTGGATCAAATGCATCTCCTGGTTTGAATCATCAAATAATCAGTCGCTGTCGGATCGCGATTTGCGGCGCCGAATAACGAAACGAATCACTTTTCTATTTCTACTTTACTGCTGGAAAAAGCAAAGTGCTTTTGAAAATGTAGGCTACGAGTACCTACAGCATATACTTTCGAGTATGGCAAAATTCGTGATTAATAGGGTACTAAAACGCAACTGAAAAAAAGATTAAAATTTTAAAGTTCTAATCAAAAAAACTGGCTCGTCTGTTATCACTGGAAGCGCGCCGGTACATGACAACTCTTCTAGTTTTTCGGCCTATTTGAGCCGATCGGATTTCTTTACATGCAAATTCTGGCTAATTTTTCTTGGTCGTGTCTGTCTGGTGCTAAACGTCAATCAGTTTTCGTTATGGACATGTCACCCCTCGCCTTCACATCAGTCGCGATAACTACTGGAGCCAGTTTTGCTAGACCAATGTGTCATACAAATGTAATTTGTATACGTTAAAATACGTTTTAAATTTCTAATACTGGATGAAAGATTTCCAAATTTAAACGAACCTGTGACTCGCCGAGTAAATTCATAAATGAGCAAAGTTTTGACTATACAGGGGTCTTGAAGTGTATATTGAAAAATCGAGTTGCTTTCAATGGTGAAAAGTTGGAACACTGGGGTTTTAGAAAACCTTACTTGACTTGGCAAAAACAGCACAGAATTTTGCTGAATATTTTTTTATTTTATATTTGTAAATCTTTATAATCTTTACACAACTTACCAACAAACATTACTCCAACTTACCAGAAGTTATCTAATCTGTATTGAAAGTACAGTATGTCTTTGCAAATTTGCGGTGCAACCGTTACAGCTGACAAGAGCATGTCACCATACAAACACAGTAACCCGAAATGAAACATATTGCTGATAATAATTTTTGGACTCAAAAACCGTGTTCAAAAAAAGGGTTTCAACAAGTTTAAAAAGTTTTTTATGGCTATTTCCTGGGAATTAATCTGTATTTGTTAGAAAAACGTTTAGATTCTCACACATTGTGCTTGGAACTGAAATCGTTTGGAATAACAAATACATTATTCATTGTACCTGGGAGACTGAAGAAACGAGTTTCACGCGATTTCTGATGTCATTTTGCAGTCATAATGAATAACTTTTTATTTTTAAACCTGTGAACGATAAACTCCTCCTCCCTGACACAGAAAATCCAAAAATCTACGTTTTTTTCATGAAGCTAAAATGAGTACTCGTTCCGTTCGTTTTACGCTTACGGTGGCGTGTTCAGTATTTTTTGCTTTAGCTTCATTTCAGCTGCTTGTCTTACATTCATAAATAATAACGGGCCTAAATGAAGATGTACTTCAGACAAATGCTTGATCCGTAAAGAATGACAGCGATTACCTATAAACTATCAAAAAAGTCATGGGAGCAAAAAAAAAATAAGTAGGCTTTTGAAGGTGAGAAGTGTAGACCGCGTGAAGTCACAGAGTTGGACTTCTTTAGACCAGTGCCCGTTAAAGAAGATGATATATAGTTGAAGTAAAATAGTGAAGAAGTAACTCTGTGGGTTCACGTGCTTGGTGGCACGAAACGTTCATTCGGTTATAGCCCCTGATGCAAGTACTTTGAATTTTTCACACAGTTTTGAAAGATCCATTGCACTGTAAGGAATACCAACAATTGTTGATCCTTATGATGCAACGCAGTTTAGAGCAGCGACTATAACCTCGGTCCAATTGTGGGATAGGTGGCCGATACAGAAGTCTACATTTACTACGCAACTAAAGGTGTTCTCTGAAAGTTCATTACAGAATATCCTCCATCGCAGGAGGGCTACTGCAAGAGATCCATTACAATATCAGAGCGGCGCTGCAAAAAAATTTTTCAAAGGATATAGAAGCTGTAAAGGTCATTCTCCAAAACGGGAAAGCAGCAAACCGGACGGCCGATACATTTCGCCAAGAAATGGTACGGTTTTGTCAGTTTCTTGAATCACCATTTATTTTGTTCGTGATTTCTTTTTTTGTTTATATTTTTAAACTATACCTTGTATTCATCCTTTTTCAGTTTTTATTTACATATTGAACATCATTCTGAAGCTTGTAACCAAGTTATATTCTTTCTTGAGTTTTACGACTTCCAATTTGAGAATTACTTTTTATTTTTCACATATGACTTTTAGTGGCTATTAAATGACTTAGTCCCTACTATTTTCTTTGTTTATTTCCCAAATACTTTTTTACTTCCCTCTAAGAACTTTTATTTTTGTTGCCAGTTTACTTTCCCTTTTTACTTTTTTTTGTGTGTTTAATTAGTACGTTGATCAGTATTACTACACAAGTTCACTTCGTTCCAAAATTTTGATTGTATTTGTGCGTCGTCTTGAGTCCGTATATCGTATTTTTTTTAGTCTTTCTTCTATGTTCTTGTTTGCTCGATACATATTCATAAGTAGGGTGATAAAAAGTTGGACAAATTTTCATTTTTGTACCCTTAACATTAAAGGCTCTTATACTGTCTAAAAAATTTAGAGCAACTGTGCTGCTTTAGCATGGAACATAGGTGGTGTATGGGTTTAGGACCTCATTAGAACAACTTGCGCAATGTTTCATATGCAAACTAAACAGCTGCTAAACCTTTTGGTGGGACGAGTGAACGGTTTTGTCAAGTAAAAAAAGCCGGCACAAGAGTTCGCAATACATCAACATGTGGAGCTGTCTCCACCGATCTTTTTATTCTCCGAAATACCCTGAAAGTGCCGGTTCAGGCAAGACTCCGAGAAAACGACACAGCGCTTCAAAAACATGGATTGCTACACAAAGGTCAACTCATAAGTTGTCCTTATCTTGGCTAGCGATACCGAGCAAGATTTAAGTCCTTCGTATAAGCCACAGCAAGAAAATCGTCGTCGGCTCTGTAATTTGTATGAGCTAATGACGCTCAGAGTAAGTTGTAGAGTTTCTGTAATACATCTCAAAACGGCGGTTATCGAAGCCACCTCAAATTTAAAAACAGTCAAATAACTGCCACGGCTACCCCCCTTTTATTTCGCATTCTTTCTCGCTGCTTAGATATGCAGATACAAACTTGTTTGTTCGTTTTAACTGGAACACAGTATGGAGTTTTAACCTTCAGCGGTACTTCATTGCACAACGCACATTTTACTGCCGTAATGACCAGTTACTGAATCATTGAAATACTCTGCCCACTACTGGACTACTGAGACTTTTGTCATCCGCATCGTAACTGCCCTCGTATCTTCTTAACAAAACGTGCAAAAGCGCAGCTAATTCGCACTCTTAGATTTCACACTTTTTAGGTTTTAAATATCAAATTAGTTCATCGAGATCCACATTCTTCTTGAATAATAATAACAAAAACAGAAAAGAAAACTGTTGTCGGCTTTTATTTCCAAAAAAATCACTGCTTTCAATAAAACTGAACGATCATAAAATATATAACAGATACTATGCAGCAATCAGTCCCTTATGAAATAATCACTGATTTTTTTGGCTTTTTTAGTAACCTGATCTGACTTCATAACATTTCGTTTTTGTTTCTCCTTTACAGTCCCTTTTCTCGGCCTCGCTCTGTCTGGTACTTCCACAGCAGAGTTTTGCATCTCCCTCTCTTCCATTTCTGATATCGCTTTTCTAAATAAAAGGTCGTCCCAAGTCGGAACAAAAGCAGACAACAATTATCTCTTCCCTTGTACCTTTTTTCTTTTTTAAATCCAGCAATGCACCAGGAAGTAAGAAAAGAAAGACCTCTGGGAAAGGACTGCAAGAGTTCTTATGACTAACCTATTTAAACACTCATCAATATGACAATTGACTAAATGAATTTCCATCGGCAAACTTCTGTCACAAATCGGACAAAATTGGCCGGAAATGCATGGGGCATTTTCTTCAACTTCTGGTGATCCAAAAAGATCGCCATTACGAGGTGAATCAAACTGCATTCTTTCTTCCACAGCAGTGGAGTCAAACATATCAATACTTGAATCACTATCGTAATCTGTATTATTTTCCTTTCCACGTTTCTTCGGGCTGAAGTATGAAGACAGGGTACGCGAAGTACAAGGCTCTGCCTTTAAAGATGACATGCTTTAATTAATGGTAAGGCTAAGAAGGGACAAAAATGAGCAGAGATCATTTGTCTCACCTTATCACCCGAAAAAACAAGCTTTGATAATTGGACGCCAAGTAGCCGGAGCTGTTTACTCCCCTCTTTCATTTCTTCTCTAATGCATCTTTCACAAATAGCGAAGAGGCGAACCGAGTCCGTTATTATATCATTGACTCTGAAATCATATGGTATTGCTGATTTTAGTGGTTTTGGGAGTTTTTCTTGATTTTAGTTCCAAGCTCATTTTGTTGCACAATGTTATTTTTATTATAAATTTGCTTCAATTTTTCGGCCACCAGAATTACTAAAAATCAAAAAGAAATATTTAAAACAAGTGGAAATTGGATTAGTGCTGCAGTCATCCGCAGGACTTTTCTAAAAAGAATTAAGAAACAATTTTTTGCAATTCTCAGTATCACAGAGATGGTGAGGCAATTCACTATAAAAGGAAAGTATGTTGTTTACGTTGTGCATCGCGTAATCAGATCAAATGTCGAGAACTTCATTTTACATGTTGCAGAACGACCGCCGAGGACCTCATACTTCGGAAGAGTTTGTATTAAATTGCTGCATAACTCTTGCATAATCTTAAAGAACCGAACAGTTCACCAGTGCATAAACTGCGAATTCTTAAACGAAGGATAACTGCCTAATAAATGGTATCCAAATTCAAAATAATTTTTACCTCTAATATGACTTTCATATTATTAGTGGGATGAAAAGTTCTTTCATTGCCTATGCTCTTCCTCCTTGATTCACGATCACTCACAACAAGAGCAGTATAAGACGACGATATCCCCAAGGCAATGCGCAAGAAATGTTCATAAGACCTTTGCGAAAACAAAAGTGATAGAAAAGCGCGTTTCTCGTAGAGGTCTCCGCACTTCTCAATTCCTAACCCTTTCAGTACTGCCTCTGTCACTGCCCCGATTCCACACACCTGTAAGCTGGGAATTTTGCAAGAATCAAGAACCATGCGGAAATAAGCATAAAACTCCTGCTAGCAAATCAAAATCGGAATAAACTCAATTTTGCTTCTTCCATTACTACTCGACCAAGACAAACTTTACGGATTGGTAAATGTTGCATGAAATTCAATACAGCTTCTTTGTCATTTGCGACTCGAAACTGGCCGTTTGGTTTATTCATATCCGATGAAATTTTCGCAATCATAGAATTAGGTGCAATACCTAAGTTAACAGACCCCAAAGCAAGTCAAGTAAGTTGAAATGAAACACATTTCGAACAAAGAATTTCTTCTCACCTGCACTGCAAGTTAAACCAGTAGCCTGCTCTACACGAAACCTCATTTCTCTGACAACCTTAAAATCCAGTGTATTACCGAATCAGAAAACTAGAATAGTTACTTTTAAAAACAGCAGAACTTAATGCGAAAGATAGTTACAGCATATAGCACGTTATAAATTAGGGATTCCAACAGCAAATGCATTTCAAAAAAAGTGGCTGAAATGATTAAAACCTCCTCAACATCTGTTCCGAATGTAACTTTGTCGATAACAATAACACAAGTCTTCCCACATTTTTCACACCTCTCTTCCTTCTTATCAAAATCCTTTACTTCTGACTGCTCCTCTACAGGGATCAAGGGTAACTTGCAAATGCATTCCCCCATGTACCTAACTCGTTGGCGGTCAACTAAAATTTTTATAATCACATACGAAATACACTAAAAATTTTGAGAGACGTTAGGGAATCAGAATTCACAGCAAGGTAGAAAATGCATATTCAGAAACGTTCTAGACCCAAAACAAAAAAAGATCCAATTTTATATGAATACTGTTTTACTTCAATCACTTTCATCTTAATGCTTACAATCTCCAAGAAAAAAATTAAAGTGCAGTCAACAAGAAACAAAACAATTACTTGGAAATATGCGATTTGCAACACATTCGGTTACGTCGAGGTAGGCTTCATCTAAACTCCCCATCGAAAAATTCTGATCATATTCTCCAAATATCATTCTTGCCTGTAACATAGAGAAATGTAACTTTGTAAAATCGTACTACCTAGAAATGAAAAACGGATGAAATCAATTATAAAAAGCTATACTCAAATAGTAAAAACGTTTGATTCCTAAAGTTTTGAAGGGACTATAGCTTCTTCAGTAAATAAAACCTCTTTGCTGGCTTTCTTGTATTTAGCAAAGTTACATGGGATAATTTTCAGTTCAGGACAAAGTTTTTTTGCGATAAATCCCGGCATTGCCGCACGAACACCGAAACGACGTGCTATATAGTTCGAAGTGCTCTATAATAAAGAAAAAAAAATAGAAAAATCAAGTTTGCAACCCGCTCACAAGTGAAAAATAAAACTCCAATACAAAATCATAATTAAACACGACACCTGCATGTTTTCAGTACAGATGATCCGTCCCACAACAAACCCCACATCTTTAAATGAAATTTTAAGTTTTTTTTCTCAAGTCTGTATAATGATAGCGTTTTTGACTCAGCACGCAGGTTCAAAAGCCACAATCAATTAGTTTATCTTGATAAATTCTGTCTTCTAAAAGCACCAAAGCCGAAGTTTGCCGAACAAGAGGTAATTTGAAAAGGATTAGCTCCCTTAAGTCTTCCCAACAAGAATGCCTCCTACTTTCCAAACTTTAATTTTTAAGCTCGCTTCACAAAATATAAAAACAAATGCGTAGAAAGTTTACTCTACGAGATCAATTAAATTTATTTTGGAGTGGCGATGAGCATAAGAGTCATGCAGGAAAAAATGAAATGAGACGATAAGATTTCACTAAAATTTTTTTTTGCAAATACTTCCGCACTGTAAATAGTTCCACATTCTGTCCCGTTCTTTACGGCAGTCAAAGTTAGGTGAACCATTCTTCAAATGGTACAAAAGTAGATTTTCTTTGTACCATTACAGTTTCTCTAATTCGATTCTGCTCCTCCATTCATAATTCAGACACCCGTTGTCACTGGAAGTGCACGGCTATCTTTCTCAACTCCCGGTAATCTAACGTGACCGCTATTGCAAAACCTACTGAACATTATAAAAAATTCTACATAAAATGTATCTTCATTTGAAAATTTGAAAACCTCGTATGTCTTAAAACTGTCACTAAGCTAAAATTTGCGATATCTTGTGGTTCACTTCGAAAAAACGAAAATTTGAGGCCTCCAAAATTAAAAGATACTTCCTTCAAAGTAAACTGAAAAAATTTCAATTCCGCATACAAATAAAAGCTGTAACATTCATAACCGATCATATTATGACACAATTCGCTTTTTCTTTGCTTTAGGAGGGCATCATTTCCCAAGATAATCTAGAGAGGTAATTTTTATGATTTTGCTTACTCAAGCAAAAACCTTATCACCCTCTAAATTTTGAATAAAAATTCCAAGCAGCAATGGAGATGATGCATGTAGTTCGGAAAAGCAGCTCAAATGAAACAATAGAAAGTTAGTGCTTAAGCAGAGAAA